AGCAGAGAAACATACTGTGACACCATGACACACACGTTATAAAGCTGTGCCCGGTGGAATTTTGGGGTAAATGTAGCACTTGAAGCAGTTTAATTTATTTGATGAAGTTGATGTACTGTTGCAAGATTTGGGTTGTACCTACATGGTTGAATGCACTTATTGTAAATCACTCTGGATAAAAGCATCAGCTAACTAAATATAATGTAGTTGAAGCGCTTTATATTGAACCAGTGAAACAGACAAACAATCTGTGCACACTCAGATTTTCAGTCCCATTTGTGCCTTTTAAAGCTTCCATGACGAATTAATACTTCATCAACACTGTACTCCACTGAATGTCAATGAATGTGATAAAAATGTGTCACGTAACATATGGAAGTGATCCATGTTGGTCCAGCTAACATACTCCAACAAATGTCAAGCACTAATGAGCCAGAGAGAAGCTCTGAGTCTTCTGTGTCACAGAGGAGATAAACACAATGCTGCCTGATGGATGGAGCTGACAACACACATTCACACATGCACTTACCTGTTTTAGAGATGTACAGAACATCAGTGGGATTATTCAGCCTTGTTATTCTTGCGGGGGTTAGGACGAAGCATGCAGCCGTGTCAAGAAAATACAAAATGCTCTCCGAGTAGAAAGCATCCCGAAATAGCCCATTAAATGTGTATATAGACTGTCTTTATGTAATGTTGGGATTCAGTGGGTCCGGTGAACTGTGTCTAAGAGGGCAGACAGACAGCGCGGCTCGCTCATGTATCATCATCTGCCTCGGACCAAACACCAGATTAGAATCAACAGCCAGCATCACAAATGTCTCAGGTCACTTGAGAAAGTAAACAGCAAGCACTCATTAGAGCAAAATGTCTTGAGCCATTTCAAACAAGATTTTCGCTTGCGTCATAGCAGTTGTATGTTAATTTGCAACTTAGTTGACTTCAGCGTCAGAACCCAGTCGCCTGAGCCTCGTTGTGTGTGAATACTGATGCTGCTTTCCATTCAGCCATCTAGACAATGTATGGTTTCAGCTGGTCTGAATTATTTTGTGTCAGTGTTGCTTTGTGTTCGGATAATGTTCCTATGTATCCAGTGTATTGTCAGTGTTTTAATGTGACATTTAGCAGTTTTAACAATGTTACCATGTATTAAGATAATGATTCTTCAATGTTCCCATGGGTATATACAGTAAATTGTTGCATAATGTACTCCCATATGTTTTCATATTGTGATGCTATCTCCAGAGTGTTGTTGTGATTAGTAGTATTGGCTCTATCAAGCTATTTGTCATAATAATTTTAACTTCATAATCATATTTGTCCTTATTTTGCTTCCATATTGCTACCGCTGCCTCATTTAAGAGGCCTTCTTCAAAAGACAATCAGATGTCAGATGACTGAGGCATGGTGGACAGCATCTACAGCTTCTTCACAAACACAGGATGCATCATCAATGGTAAATATATCCACATTTCAGGCAGAGACACTCCCAGGCATTTATAGATAATGCTTATACAGTTGCATATAGTGGAAAATGCTCTGCTCTTTTATGGGGCTCTTAAAGAATCCAGGCAGCAACGAGGATTATACAGAGAAAACAGATCTTCCTTCAAGGAACATACATTGACATGAAATCAACAACAGCAGGAATATAAGGAGGAGGTTGGGGCTGAGGGAGCTGCAGCAGCAATAGTGTAGGGTTGGGGTTGTTACTCAATAAAAGTAATTTACTTAATTATACTTTTTTAAGTATAGTTAATGCATTACTTCTGTAGAAAGCGTGAGGGGGTCAATCACACAGAGATGGTGTAAGCTAAAACATGTAGCCAACAAAACCATTGTCCTGGTACGGCATGCCTGGTATCTTGTTTTTTCTAATGGTTTTTAGATGCGTGTATAGTTATATTTTCAACTTTTCAGCGCAAGTCGCACTGCTTGTCAGTGTCGCACTTGGCCCAAAAAGCCAATCAAATCAAGCAAGAGGCAGGCTTTACTACTTTACCACTTCCTTCCTGTTTTGATGTCACTTAATATACCAGTAAAAATAGGTTAGCTTGTAAGCAGGTGTTTTTTTTCTCCAAAGTCATTTTTTAAGCTCGATGCATCTCTGTGGGAT